ATGCCTTATGCCAGTTGTTACTCGACAGGCACTCTGTGAGTGGGAGAGTCTGCATCATGGCAGAAGGGTCAGGTGCATTTTGACTCTATGTGTTACTAGGTTATAAATCTATACATATGTCTCCTTACAGGAACAATCTAGATATGTTAGACAGCTCAGGATGATCACCATATATGTGCACTTATGAGATACTACTTTCTAAAATTGTTTTACATTCTCATCTGATAAATATTTCTAAATCCCTTCTAATCACATCACAGGAGAAAAAGGGAGAAACACATCATAATTCTGGAAGTAATTCACAAAACTGCAGTGCCTTTGTGTTAGTGGTATTGTAGAACAAACTATTTAGGAATAGCTAATTGCTTTCATTTTTTTGTTTATATTCTTCTCCCCCAATTAGTGTAGACTGTTGCAGTTTATTATAATAAGAAAATTCAACAAGCAGAAAGTGGTTTTTCTCTGAGTTGTCTTAGAATAAATTATATGTTTTCAGAAGACAGACATGCCTGAGGATAAAGCAAGGTATGGTATCTGTGCACACTGGATAGAAATCTCTATAAATATGATATTGGTATCGTGCATACTTGTAAGATTAATGTCAGCACAGGTTATCTATCATGTCGGGGCAAGTCAAGCACGTTAGACCTGCCTCAGGGATGGTTTAGTCTCTGTATCCAACTATTCAGACAAGTTGCATGGATGTTTTGGTAGAAAAGACTGAGGGATGATTTTTCCATCACTCCAGGCTTCCCATTCATTCGTACTGTCTCCATTTTCTCCAGTGTGCTTTGATAGGTACAGGTAGTCGGTGTCCTGTTAATCTTTACGACAGGTAAGACCTAAATGGAACAGCATTTCCCCCCAGCCCCTCTTCCCCAAGAGGAGTTATATGTAACCTGTGCATCAGTTGCACAGTGGATGGAACATAATGGAAGTAGATGATGCATTTAGTCCATGTGGACATTTTTCTGTTACTGGGCAGTTTCCAGGGCATTTAATATTAAATTTTTAATGATTTTTTGGGTAAATTTTATTATTAGCCTTGGCTTACTTCCTTACACAGTTACATGTTTTATGGATTAATGGTGTATGGGTGTTTTATATAGGAAATTCCATGCTGTAATAATTCAAGAATAATTTTTTCAGCCTAGAATATAATGTGAACCTTTATAAGTACATAGCATTGAAAAATTTGGAAAATACTTAGTTGGGGAAGCTTGAAAGCTCAAGAATCATACAGGAATTCATTATTTTCTCTGTGGCACATGAAAAAATACATGTTTCTCCCACCACCACAGAACTTCTCTTTGGACCCACTGATAATGTAATCCAGCCTTCATTTGTTTAAGTATTAGTGTAAAATTATATGTAAAAATTAGCTGATGGGATCATGGTAGTATGGTGGTCTTTTCATTGGTTCGTTTAACTTTGGACAGATTATAAACATAAATACTAATTCATTTTGCATGTTCTTGTTAATTATAATGGCACTCAGTAGTGCTTGTCTGGTTATGAGCTTCTGAGTATCTTTCAATCACAAAAATGTGAATTCCTGGAATCAGGAAGAAAGGGCGTGTTTCTTTACTATTCACAGTTCTGCAATTTATATAATATTCTTCAAATAACATATTTTTTTGTAGTGTAAGTGTGTTGAAGTGGTTTAAGTATAATTAAAAATACATAGTCTGACTGTTAGATAAATTTACACTTTTTCATCCTTTAAGAAGATATGCGTTATAGATTGTATGTAAGTGATGTATTTTCAAATAAAATTCAGGACATCCCATTGACATACTGCATTTTAAGACTTGCTCAGATGTCCTATTATGAATTAAGAGGGTTCTTTTAAATTGTGTGAGTCCTGTATGATAGAGTTGGAAGATACAGATACCAGTGAATGTTTATGTCTTTAAAATACTGGACAGTCTCTTTAGCAAGTCATTTTTGCTTTAGTGAAACCAGTGGTGTCTTTGGCTCAATCTATGTGATTCCAAACAAGCGTACCTACTAATAACTATATAGATAGCCCTCAAGCAGGTTCTAAAATTTTCTTGCATGTTTTGCTGAGAAGTGCTTCATTAGAATATTTTATACAAATACCCTCTTCAAGCAGTAATGCAGTTTGAACCATTTCTACTGTAGAAGAAATCTGAACAAGGTCTTGCCAGAAACAGTGACACATCGTGGCAACTTGATCTATCCAATATGAGAACTGCTTAAGTGCTGTAGTACACTTTGGTGGGGTTATTTACACTTTAAAAAATACCAAAGACCACCAATAAGACAGGATAAAGAATAAAAGCACATAGTCTCAAATCAAAGTATTGTCTTAGAGGCAGTGTACAGACGTATAACAGGTAAACTTATCCTAATGATTTGTGACCTAAATGTGGAATAAGCAAAGAGGTGATTGCAGCAAGTAAATGAATGAGTAAAAGAATAGCTTGCAGCACATGAGCATTGCATTTATTTAAGTCAAGTTTCTAAGTCTTCATCCAGTCAGTGAATTTGACTTTCATTTTGAATTTAATATTCTAGGGATTTCTGACACAACTAGGACAATTAACATTCTGTAAGGGTGCTTTTGAAGCTTTGGTTAGCAGGGTCTGTAAATTTTTAAATTTTTAAGGTTCAGATGGAATTCAGATGGAGTTATTAGATATTGAAGAATGCAAACATATCTCTTCAAGCGCTATCAGTAGGGGATGGGTAAACTATAAAAGCTCTACCTGCTGGGGCCCAGGGGATGTAATCTGCTAGCTTAGGTGGAAGGTAGAGAAATGTTGGTGTTAAACTGGAATAACTGGAACCATTCAGATCCTGGTTTTAGGATGCTAACAAAAATCAAAACAAATCAATATTTATAGCAGAATAATATTATTTTTTAGGAGTCAGCTGCCTTTGTCAGGTAAGCCACGCTGAAATGTAGCATAAATGAAACAGAATAGATAAGATTCTAAAGATGAAAATTTGCACTGTTAAAAGGAGAATTGGTAGGTAAGACCTGTCTGTGACGTATCTGTCACACCTACTTAGTGCCATCCTCACCAATTTTAGTATTTCTTATTGATTTCTGAAGAAAAATGAAAAATCCAGAAATAGACCAAAGATAAAATTATAATAATTGAGATTAATGATTGTGGTTGTTTCCATATTAGGACTAATTAGCAAAAAAATACTACAATGATTTTTTTTTTCCTGAAATGGCTATATCTCAAGAACATGGGTCATATTTTGATATAAGATTTCATATATAATAACTGTGGTTGTCGTGGCTTTATTTCTGAGGTGAAGCAATATGTGATGTTTAATATACTCAAAGCTAAGAAAACTGATGATATGAAAATATTTTGGTGTAACAGAGTATAGGAAAAAAGAGAAATACAGAATATTCACATTTGAGGCTTACATATTATCTGTCAACAAAATGAAGTGTTGAAGAAATAACTGGAATGTGTATTTCTGTCTAGAATTCAGGTGCACAAGAAACTTCAGAGAATTAGAGGCATAGCTATTTAGAGGCAAAACCTTTTAATGGGAAATAGGTCAGTGAGATGAATGCTTTTTGCTCAGTTGGTTGGGCATTTACATTGTGGATCCAGGGTGACCACATGACCATCAAGCAAAGTTTCATTGACACATATTTTACTTTCCAAAAACTTTTAAGAATTGCCACCCACCTTCACCTCCTCATATTTGCCTTAGGATCCTTACCTGTTTTTAACATTTTCTTCTCTTTTTTGCTTTGTATTAAGCTCATAAGATACCCTTCTCATTTCCCAGTGCTGTCCTACTGTGCAGGGGTTTCATGTAGTGTTTATTCCTCCAGCCTGTCATTCTTTGCTCTCCCTTCTTCACTTGCTCTACTACAGAGGCTGCCAGGTAGCTTTCAGTTTTCTAGGAACTTCGACCTTCCCAGCAGGTTTTGTTACACTCTACAAACAAAGGAAGAAGTTAGAACTGCAGCTCTTTTAAATGTCCAAACATCTTGTAACAAAGTGTGTATTAATAATGCCAGTTGGAACACAGATTTTTTTCTTAAACTGTGGGAAAGCAGTCTTTTCTTTATAAAATTCTACATTCATTTTCCTCTTCAGCCTGCTTCTCTCTGACCTTGTCAGCAAGAGAGAATTGCCAAGAGGCACCATTGAGAGGCTGGTAGGATCTACTTCAGAGATAGCAGAGTTTCAGGCATTAAGTCTGTGTCTATATTAGTAAATTAAAAAATGCCTGGAAATATTTCCATGTCTCTGCCACAGTTAATGTTTTGCAAACTAATATTGTTCCAGAAAATTCCCAGATATTTATTTGACCACCTCCATTAGACAATTTTTATGCAACCCCTTTTTTTTGGAGCATATGTGACTGTGCCACATAGATGTAGGATTATCCTACATCCTACATAGACGGAGGATTATCTCTGCCAGTTGATTTCAGGAAAGAGAAATGTGCTCAGGCATAGATGTAATCTAAATATGCTGCAGACCTCCATGTTCTTTATTTCTTCTGCCTTGTCCAACCTTCTGTCTTCATTGCAGTCTTCCAGTCTCAGCTTCAAAGCTGGTTTTTTTTTGTTTTCTTTTTTCTTTTTGCTTGTCCTTTTGTTCTTTCTAACATACATATAGATTTAAATTGTATTGGCATGCTGTTTCCCAGCTTTTGTACCCTCCGTCAGATGACCCTGTGAACTTACGAGTAGTGATACTGTGTGCAGTTCTCTGAAACAAACTACTTCAGGGAAGCCTTCCTTTTGTTTGCCCTTGAGTACCATAATAATAAAAATAGAATAAAAATACAAGACTAGAATTTGAGTGATGCCTTAGCTGTCACTCTACTGCAAGGATGAAACTTGGTGAACAATTATATTTCTTTGTGGACTACATTTAAGCTTACTACTTGTTAAGAGAACAAATTAGAGGGGGTGATAAGGCCAGATTCTATGTTGGTTTTGTTAAATGATTCTAAATAGCTGTAAACATTTCTCTCTGTTTTGTCAGGATGGTGGTACTAGAATTGATCTTGGACATCACTTCAGTTCAAGGTTGAAGTTAAAAGGTCTTTTTGAGGCTTAGAAGAAGCAGGTGAGTACAGGTCAATCATCACAAATCAAAGAGGATTTTTTTTTCCCCCACTTTCTTTTGTTCCAGAATTGCTGTTGATGCTTATCAATCCAAATTCAAATAGCTGGTCTCTGCTTTCCCTGATTCACTGAGATGTATGACTGCTTGTGTTATGGCTAGGTAGCAGAGAATATCTGATTCATTTAGGATTTCTCTACATGCTTTTTCAGCTTTTGCCATGAAAATCTGTGAAACCACAGTTCTGTCACCAAGGTCTTTGGAACTCTGGAGTTAACATACACTGTACAGTTTCATTACATTAGCTGTATTAGGAGTATGATAATTAAGATAATTTAATAAATAACTTTTTTAAAAGCTAAATACCCTGTAATAAATAGCGAAGAATCCTTGAGTTTGGATATTCCTAGTTTTTTTGAAACTGGGATGATCTTTATTCCTCTGGTAACCAGGAATTCCGTGATGCCAAGGACCATGAGTTCAGACCTTGTTTTGACTGTTTTGTGTGTTAACGGGCTGAACCTGCCTGGGACACAGGGCAGTCAGTGGGTGCAGTGCCACTGGGGCCTTGGCATGAACACTTTGTCATGGCATGAATACTTTGATTTGCTCCAGCTATCTTCAGTCAATCATGTGCAAGTGGCTGTCAGGTCTTTTTAACTTAGACAGATCTGGAAAAGGAGATCTTGAAGGAACTAGTGTAAGATGAGAGCTTACAAAGGCAGTCACATTTATTTTGGATTATTCATAATTGCTATTGCAACAAAAAATCTGTATGTCAAGTGTTGCAGTTGTTCATATTCTACATTTTTTTTGAGAATATTCACACAACTTTACAAATTCAAAATTTTTAGGCAATATTTTAACATATAAATTGCAAAATATGGTCAATTTGACCTGATACTAAAATTTTAAGATACAGATTTAAACAGGGTACAACAAACCTAGCATAATAAGAAACAGGCCAAATTGCTTCTATGTACACTATGACATGTACACAGAAAGTAGAAACCATGTATGTAGACCAGGAATTAGAAACAAATATGTAAATACAAATAATATACCATTTGTAGTAACTGCTGAGGTATTATGAAATACTCTGATATACCTATATACTCCATATGTATTGATGCCTCTGGAAGGAAGGAAAAAGAAGCTGTTTCACAGGAGTTAATGATGATGACAGTAATTAGTTCTGAAGCTATAACAAGTTTTATAACAAAACTATAACAAGTTTTATAAGTTTTAAAACTTTATAACAAGTTTTTTGAAGTTTTACCCTCTGTGAGGATTTCAGCCCTTTTTAACCAAGTTCAAAGTAGTGTAAAAGAAAACTGCTCTGGTATGAGCTTCACTGTGACTGTCTTCACTGGGTAATAAGAAAGGAAAATTCCTTTATTCTGATTTAACTTCACCTTTTTCCAAGGAGTTAAGGCACTGGCTGGAAGGCTACAATATGAATATGGTGAAGCCAGGAAAAGAAAGGTTAGATATAGCAGTGTTGTAAGTCAGAGGATACGCAGCACTATACAGGGAAATTGTAGATATTACTGGTATCATGTGCCAAACTTTATATATGTTAGTATGTAGTAATATATTTATTTGCAAAGCAGTGTTTTTTCTTTCATTCTTGAGTAGAAAAAACAGTAAGAAATACCAGATTCTTTGCTCTCTATGTAGCAGTGGAAATATGGTTGGATTTCTGTCACATATTTGTGCATGTCTGAATGGTGTAACTTGTATGTAGTTAAATGTTAGTTTTTTTGACAGTGTCAGTATTTTGGAAAACTGATGGAAACTGGAATTTGATAGAAACTGTAGTAATTGAAATCTGTTGAGTCAGCAAGAGTGTTTTAGTTTTTAAAGGGTATTTTTTCTGGAAGTTTACTGTGTTCTGACAAATAGTGTCCAAAATGCAGTATTACTGACTTGGGCATCTATAATGTTTTGGCAGTATAATTTTATTGAGTTCCAGTATGTCTGAAACTAGAAGCATATGAAAGAAAACAACTGCTGTTCTGATTCCTCCATTATGTTCTTCCAAACTTTAAGTTGAATATAATCTATAAAAATACTTACTGTAGAGGAAACCAAAATCTTTTTGGCTTTTTAAGCATTGGTCTCTATTTCTTGCAGTATGTGAAAGTGGAAAAGGAGTGTTTTTGCAGTCAGTGAGGAAACAGTAGTAAATTCTGAATGCTATTTCTTCAGCATGGTATTTAGAATTAATAGGTTCTTTTATGGCATGATATGAAGTGTTTGCACTGATTGAAAACTGAGGTTTAATCATGAATGTCATGATAGATATGCATAAAAATAAGATTGAAATTATGAATACATTTTTAATCAACAGAGAGAAAAAATCTGTTTGGTTTTTGTTCTCTCAGTAGAACACAAATTCTTAGGAATAAGTTTTAGAAAAATTGAGATAGATCTCAGAGAAATGTGAAAACAGAGAAAAAGTGTTCTATTTTCTGACTTATAACTTAAATAGACACTTTTGAGACTGTTAGTGATACATTTACATCTATGTTTTCTAAGTTATGTAGGCTTAAAAAAAAACTAAATAAATTCTGGTGGTAATGATTATTAAATTCATCTAGCTCTTCTGTGTTGTCACTTTGGAGGTGTGCTCAACAGAATCAAGAAACAAAATCTTTAACATCACAACTCATTGACATGTATATGCATGCATTTTTTATGCTATTAAGTATTTGGTCTAAATGTATATGTTTATTTTGTAGAGGACAAACATAATTATACTGTTAGATTAGTACAGAAGGGTATCTCATATAGGTTAGGTATCTTGCATCTGAACTGAAATTCTCTCAAGATTTATGTAATGACTCATTGCTGGTGACCAACATGTGAAAGATATGGTATTTTCCACTAGCTGCATAATGGATGGGCATTAACTTTGTCCACAAAGAAGTCGAACCCTTTCACATGTCTGGTCAGAAGGCAAAGGAGTTTTAATACTTCCCTAAGTGCCTGAAAGGAGGATATACAGCATAATGATGGTTTGCAAGAAGTAATTTGATGGGGTTTGATGGACTTTGTCTTTAATATGGTTTCTAACAGGAAGAATCTGAAACATAAACACTGCTTCATACTTTAATGGAAGTGTGTTAGAACAGAGACCCTACTTATTGTAGAATTTTGAATTATCTTTCCAGGGTGATTTTGAATAGCTATAAATTGGTGATTTGGGAGGAACCTGAAGTCAACTTTTGTCAAAAAGTAGTGCACATTGAAAGAATTGAATTTGTGACCTGGAAATATGAGGCAGTAAATTTTTGCTATGATTATACATAACGTCAAACTATGGATTTAAACTGGCCAGCTTTTCAATTCACCTAAACAATAAGTACAATCTTAATGGTCTGATTTGCTGGGAAGAGCACTGTTGCAATAATCTGCTTTTTACAGCCCATATCAAATATGAACTTGCGTCAGTTATTATGAAGCTTGTGCTTTGGGAGGTGTTTTTGTGGCATCTAGGAGTGATGCTCCACATTTGTTGGAATTAGTCTTTACTACTGTCTTGCAAAATGAGTTATTGCTTAAATACACTGATTGTTTTGTGGTTCCTAGCACAGAAATTTTTAAGTAAAAGCTAGTTGAAACTTGATGGATTTTTTCAGCTCTATACAATGAGGAGAAAATGGTGTGCATCTTAATAATTTTATGATTCTTTTTCCTATGTGACATGAATAAGAGAGGTGAGAAGTCTTAATTTTTAACTGAACTGAATTCAGGTTTCTAAACGTGGCCTGATTGAGAGCAGAGGACCATTACTGTAGTTGTCATGTAAAATGAAGTTGGAGTCTGAATCTCCTTTTTAGCTGTCAGCTTTATTAAGGAGCTATTGGTGTGTTGAACTAGGCACACACATTATATAAGCGGTGCATGCTGGTGTCTGGGGGGAATTTTCTCTCTCTTCACTGCTGCTTTATTAGGTCTTGCTCTCTCATTCTGTGTTGCCCTGTCTCACTCCAGCTTTCTGGCTGCAGCTCACAGCATTGTAGGTCTAATGTAGATTGACGCCTTTGCCAGAGGACTGATTGAAACTTGTGTCTCATAGTTGCTAATGCTCACTCAACCATTTTATTGAAGATAAAGTAAATAAAATAGATTGCCATATGAGAATTCTCTGAAATCAAATGGAATAATTTGACAGGTTTAAGCCCATGAAAAAGCCAGAGCATTGAAACAGATGGGAATACTTTTTATGCACAATATACCAGCAAAAGGTGTCTCCTGGCTTGCTGTTACACTGTTAATGGCTTTTACCAAAATTATAATTGTTGAAAATATCATTTCCATTGGTGTTTAAATTGTTACTTCTCTCAAACAGAGGGATTATTTTTAATATAAAAGTAATGGATATACTGATTTTATTTTCTCATTGCTTTTGATTCTTCAAGAGACTGGTGGTAGATAACCAGTCTCTTAAAATTTAATTAAAAAAAAATAATAGATGCTAACTAAGGGTGAGATTAGTATTTGAGAAAATAATTCTTTGAAATGCAAAATAGTTACTTTTATAGTTTTTTAATAATCATTAAGTGACATAATTTTGACTATTACAGATAAAGTTTCAAAAAAAAGCCCTAACATTTCTAAAAGCATAGCAATATAATACACAAAGACTATGAGGTGCTAAAGTGCTCAGAATAATGGTCAACAAGTCCCAAATGTTCTTCACAATAATTTTGTTTTATAGAGTATTTCTTTAGGTAAGCATTGTAGTATGTCTGTGCTATTTTCAGAAATAAGACAATACATAACAATAAGTGACTAAAGACACAATAGATGACATGTGACTCTAATTGTTTTAGCTGGATAAAAATGAGTATTAGTCTTTTTAGTCACACTAGTGGACTTCTTACTAGTTGGACCACTTCTTCAAGAAAGCAAGATGCACCTGTATTTTAGTGTAGTATAATAAATTATGTCTAAACCCAAAGTTAGTAAAGGAAATAAGTACAAAAGAAGTTAAA